ACGTAACCCAGAAATGGACTCACAGATATACAGCCAAAATTTTTCAACAAGCAGGAAAGACTATCCAATGGGAAAAAGACAGTCTCTTTAGTAAATGGCGCTGGAAGAACTGGACAGCCAAGCAGAAAAAATGACATTGGGCCACTGTCTTAGACCATACACAAACATGAATTCAAAATGAATGAAAGGCCTAAATGTGAGACAGGAAACCATCAAAACCCCAGAGGAGAAAGCAGGCAGCAACTTCTTCGACCTTGGCCACAGCAACTTCTTACTTGACATGTCTCCAAAGGCAAGGAATATAAAAGCAAAAGAGAACTAGTGGGACTCATCAAGATAAAAAGTTTCAGCACAGCAAAGGAGACAATTAACAAAACTAAAAGGAAACCGATGAAATGGTAGAAGATATTTGCAAATGACATATCAGATAAAGGGTTGTATCCATAATCTATGAAGAAGAACTTGCCAAACTCAACACCAGAAAAACAAAGAGTCCAGTGAGGAAATGGAAAGGAGATATGAATAGACACTTTTCCGAAGAAGACATCCAGATGGCCAACAGACATGTGAAGAGATGTTCCCCATCAGGGAGCAAATCAAATACAAATCAAAACCACGGTGAGATAAACCACACCGGTCAGAATGGCTAAAATGAACAACTCAGGAACCAACAGCTGTTGGCGAGGATGTGGAGAAAGGGAAACTTCTTGAACCATTGTTAGGAATTCATACAGTTCAGCCACTCTGGAAAACAGCATGGAGGTTCCTCAAAAAATTAAAAATAGGTTTACCCTACAACCCAGCAATAAAGCTACTAGGAATTTACCCAAAGGATACAGGAGGGCTGATTTGTAGGGGCACATATACTCTGATGTTTAGAGCAGTGCTATTAACAAGAGCCAAATTATGGAAAGGGCCTGAGTATCCATCAACTGATGAATGGATAAAGAAGATGTGATAGAGGTACACAATGGAAGACATCCCAGCAAGAAAAACAGAATGGAATCTTTTCATTTGCAACAACGTGGATGGAACTGGAAGGTAGCATGCTAAGGAAAACAAGCCAGTC